ATATATATATATATATATACAGGTAAAAATACATACTACTCGTATCTGTATGTGAACAATATATTTCAGTAATTGTAGGGATCAAGTGTGACATTGGCAATGATAACAACTTCTTTATTTAGTAGCACAATATTGTGAATGAAAAGACCAATGTTAGTTACATTTGTAAATAAATAAACTAGGGCAGTGTGATCGAATGTTAGAGCACATGACAGCTATCCCGAAAGTCTCAAGTTCGAATCCTGGTTAAATGTAGAATAACTTCCTTGAATACACCCAGCTCTAATGAGTACCTAACTCAAATTAGGGGAGTAAAGCGGAAGGACATAGTGATGATCTTAATATGCCTTTCAATGCCTCTGTTAAAAAATGGTGACCTGTACTTCACTTGCCCAATGCCCGTCAGGTTTGAAGAAAACTGTGCTAAAAAAACAGATTCTAACAAAAAATAATACAAAAAATTCTAGTTGATATTATAGTTTTTTAAAATGCTATTTTAGGCATAAATAAGTTATAACGTTTTAAAATACATATTATTTAATTGTATAAAGATTTAACCGTCATAAATTGTGAAATTGAAATCTCCGACCTTTACTAGGTGTATTTTATCCAAAAGAAAAAAATAAAATTTTTAAAGAAATTCATTCTCTATTACGAAGCTACAGATGGAATGAAATCTACGACTTTCTGCTTCTTTAGATGTATGAAGAATTAAGACGATACATTCATTGAATAACTCAACCTGAAAACAATTTTCCCCACCTTCACAGTACATTGTATACCAAGCACCGCCCAAGTGTTTAATTATTTCAGCTGATTGTGAAAAAGATGTTAATAGTATTGGTCCGCGACAATTATGATTTTTTAAATAATTATTAAATCTGTTTATAACTTCAGAAAAAATTAGATAACAAGTATCTTGATAATGCAGTTAATTTAAACCAACTAACTAAATTGAAAAGCCGAATCATAATTGTTTTCTACATTTAGTGCGTTTTCAATTAAATCCTTCATCGTTGTCTTAAAACTCGTGAGCAAAAATTAAAAAGCAGTTTTCCCTATTGACGTTTCGTCACATAATACGACAAAAACGATACAATATTACGTCAAAACATTTACAGTATTTGGATTTTAATAGTTTTTATGGTAAAACAATGTTTTTTCTATAATTGCAAAATGGACTTAAATAACTATAAACATTTTCTTAATGCAATGTTTAAAAGTTAAGACGTAATACTATTACGTAAGAAGTAATTTTAGTAATAAAAAAAAGAAAATATTTATAGCCGAAATTTTCAGTTTTGGTTTACCCGCTGATATATGGCATACAAGATAGTATATTTATCGATAAAATCCGATCTGATTCTATAAAACGCCATTTTGAATTACTGATAATATTGTTAAATGGCGCTGTCACTACATATACAGCTCTAACAGAAGTCTAAAATAAAAACCATAGTCAGTTAAGCTTTAATTATTACGTGAACTGTGGTTAGTGACGAAGAGAATAATATACCATTTGATTTCGTTACCAAGTGTATATGGTTAACACACCGTTTTTATGGAAAAATAAAGTAGGTCAACTTAAATATAGAAAACTTTAAAACTTTGTTATTATGATTATCATTAAACCTATATAGTTAACAGTTTGGTATTTGTACTTTCTCAATACAATTACAATGCATGCGTTTACACATTTAGCTTATTTATGTGATTGGTAAATTAAATATAAAAGATGCCAATAGTTAAAAAACTCTAAACAAAAACCCAGCTCGAAAAAATATAATTGTATCTTTATCCAGTTCTTTGTTTCCACAATGTTGCTTGTTCTATAACCACATTTTTTTAATCGGAACTTTAAACATTTTGAAGTATAATCAATCTTGCTGTCTTCTTTGGTTTAATATTAAAGAAATTATCAGAATTTTACTTTTTTCTGTCGCAATGTATACACATTTTTATAATACTTTGCATATGCCATATTGTTCTAATGCCTATACCTATAGGGGATGTACCTGGTGGATTACTTCATGGAATAGTTATTCGAGGTGGGGGGGGGGGGGTAAAGATATGTTTTAATGACTGGGGCTAATATCTGCGTTAAACAAATACCAAGCCTAACATTTCGGCTCAATGAAATTCATTATGACACTATATATATTTGCTAAGTTCGTTTTACATAACAGAAACATCGACGGGTAATATTTATAACAATATTACGTGTAAACATTAGTTACACCGTCGTTAAAGCTGTGTTATAAAAGATATACGTTCTACCATCGTAACTGTTGGAGTTGTTTGAGTCAGGAGATTCGTCCGGGTTTATTGGTGTTTCGTAGGGATCGATTACATCGATATACGATTCTGCATCCGCTTCGTTTGAACTAACTGCTATTTCCTCGTAATGACTGTAATCGACTACATCAATGTAAGAATGAGTACCGATTTCGCCTGAAAGGGATGTTGATTTGTCACTGCTTGTTTGTTCTATTGGTCGATTTTCATTTTTCTTTCCTGTTTCATAAGTACGTTTGTTATGGTTAATAGATTGACTATGATTGTATTGATATTTTTGCACACAGGCCTATTTCTACGAAAAATATAATTAGAATATAATTATACTTTTCTAACGTCTAAACCAGGGGTCTCCAAACTTTTCAGTCCGAGGGCCGCGTTAACTATCAAATTTCAGTTCGGGGGCCAGTTTCTTCCAGGCCTGTCTTTGATTTCTCTGGGCCATCACAAACAAACGATTTTTCCTTGGACAAAAAGATCTCAGCGGGCCGGATGAGAGGACTTCGCGGGCCGCATACGGCCCGCGGGCCGTAGTTTGGAGACCCCTGGTCTAAACCAACAATAAAGTTTATTTTCAAACATCGATCAATCATATTGTAAATTACCTCTCCGTTTGATGAAGTAAATTATTAAGGATATGCCGACAAAGATAAGAGCACCACCAGTCCCAGAACCTGCTTGTATATAGTTCAACGTAGTGCTGTCGGTGGTCGTGATATTAGTTTCTGCAACATCGGTTTAAAATAAAGCGGGTGTGATGTTCCTTAAACTTTCTCGAATATTCTTTGATAACACTAATGGGGGATGGTAACTCCAGTGCAGTCGGGATATAGACATTTAAAAGAAAATTTAAAAAAAATATAATCTCAAAGTAAAGAAATGAACAGCAAACAATGTGTAGATAATAGCATTGCCGGCGGCAGGTTATTTAGTGCCCTAGGCAAAACTTATTAAAACGGCCCCCGTTTCTCCAACTCAGGAAAGTGTAAAACGTTGAGTTTTGTGAAAATTGTTTTTTTTGCCCGATTATACTCCTTTTTTCTACACTCTTTAAAGAGAAATTAAAATAAAATGTTATAATACCTGTTTTTTCTCAGAATTAAATTTATAGAAAAATCTATTATCTTCATACTAGTGAACCTCTTTATGGAAAATGAGAAAAATAACCTGAATTATTGAATAGCCATCTGCTGTTGTTTGTGACTGAAATTTAATATATATATATATATATATATATATATATATATATATATATATATATATATATATATATATATATATATATATATATATATTAATGCTATATATAAATGTTACCTACATCAGTTTTACATACACAAATAGGCTGTATATATATATATATATATATATATATATATATATATATATATATATATATATATATATAAAGATTTATAATGTTCACAATTTGGACATTGTACACATAAAAAGACTCGAGCTCACAATCTTGAGACAATTTTTTTCATTCATACAAACACATAACTAAAAGGAAAAAAAACCATTGAATGGGAACCAGGCACCCTGTAGGACGGTTATCCTAACACTCAGTATAATATTATATTAGTAATTAATTCAGCATTTACAAACGACTGTACCTACCACAGATATTTAGCTGAATGATTTCATTATCTAAAGTAGCCTTCAAAAGAGTTTGGTCATCGATACCATTGATTTGAAATGTGAACAGCAAAATACGCACATCTAAATTGTTGCACGTACAGTTGCTATAATCTTCCGCACATCGTCCATTGTAAATTCTATACATACATATCTATTTTAAAAAAGAAAGCATATTATTACAATTTTAGCTGTACACACACGCTATATATATATATATATATATATATATATATATATATATATATATATATATATATATATATATATGAGCTGTTACATTTTGCAAAGGCAATACATTGCTTTTTAAAATATAGGGGTTGTCGAATAATAAGGTAGTGTAATGACCTACGACCTATAAATCATTTAATTAATTTAACATGCTATATATTTTATCGTAGAATATTCGTCTCTGTATTATATTCGTCAATATCCTGTTAAATATCTCAATTTTCAAAGATGAAGAATACTTAACATAATTATATTTATTCCACTTATCATTGAAAGTAATAAAAATCATACGTTTTTTGTAGAGCGATTATGACGTATTGTTTGGAATCGAACTTGATTCACGTCTCTAAACATAAGTGTCGAATTTAATAATACATTTATTTCAAAGTTAGTTGAAGAGTTACTGCAGGTGATCGCGTTTTTGATATACAGTGCATCTGGGTAGGTTGCTAAAACAGATAGAATTGTTTACTTCCTTTATCATTTTTTTTTAAATTTACTTTTATGAAACTTTTGAAACACTTTACAATGCATGATTTTTCAAATAAATACAGTTATTGCTTTGTTCACTTGACAATATAAACACATCTTTGCTTTACATTTAAGTTAAATTGCTTCAAATACCTTTAACACATGTGTCATATTTGCAAAAATTAAACTCTTTGAGCATTATTAAAATGTAGTTGAATAAAATCACTTTAGAAACAAATATAATCATTTTACATCCGAATGTTTTCAGTGAAAACTTAAATACAAATATGTTAACCACACTTAGATTTGTCACAATGAACTCGTACTTGTAAGAATAATCTGTTCAATGTCAAACAGGAAACACATGTAGGCGTATGAACACATCATAGAATGTTACAAATGGGAATGTTGTTTGCTCTGTTGTTGTTACTAATACTACTGAATCAGTCAAATGGTAAGTTGTGTTTTATGTTTTAATATATTGGTATTGACATATGTGGTTTGTGGGAAAGCAGATGGTTACTAACCCGAAAATTCCTGAGTCGTACCCACGGGCAGATGTGGCTTGTTAACTGGGGACAGTTAACCATCTGTAAGAGAAAACTACTAAATTAAACATGACTAGAGTCCACGACGCGATAGGATTCAAACTCTGGTTCCGTTTTCAAAGTTCATCCAACGCTTCGCCATTTGAAACATCAGCCTTACTTTTCAAGGCGCAGCGATTAATTGTCTATAAGACTATAGAGCCATAAATTAGTAAATTACATACTTGTCAAAAATGTGTTTCACTTTAATATGATAATCTTTACATATATTTTGATTTTTTTTAAAAATTCCGTTTCAGGACAGTGCAATCCGTGTGAAGAGTACAGTGATTGTGTTCTTAGTTTTGTATATAATAATAAAGATAATATTTATACAAAAGTTACAGTATTCTCATTGAAAATTAACGATGATTTTGTTGCAAACTGCTACACTGAAAACAATATGGAGTGTAACGCTTATGAAAAAAATGAAAACCTTATTGACTACGCTATACAAAAGGAAAACGAATCATTTATAGTCAATGTCAAGCTCTTTAATATAAGCCGGGAAAAGAACTCAATTCTGACTGAGCGCCGATTGCAATTGTACGCCAATTTTCAGAACAAAACGTTTGGTCAACGTTTATTGTATTCGTGTGATATAAAATGTTACGGTAAGTAAAAAAGAAATGGCATTTACGTTTATAATTACTGAAAAAATAATATTAAAGTGATACACAGCAATGCTCACTGTGAATTGAATATTTATCTCATAACATATTGTAATAAAATATTCAATTACATTAAAATAGAAGTTTAGTTTAACTTTGTAGGAAACAATGCACGCTATAATAATTAGAATATAATTAATACATATATTACACATTTAAGTCTAACATTTAAAAAATAAAATGATTTCTAGAAAAAATAAAAGATCTAGAATGCGTAACACAAAAAGCTACAAATGGGCTCTTGATACAGTGTTTTAGTTCTAAGATGTACCCTCCTGCTACATGCATATTTAATATTACAATGAACAAAGTGAGTAGTCATTTTTAATTCTTTATTTTATTTTATTTTCTAAGTTACTATATTAATAATAATTTTAATAACTTATATAAACATTACAACTAAAAAAACAAATCAAATAAGAATATATTTTTTGTATAGGAACAACTTAATGTATCGTCAACTAACAAACACATTGTTGGGAGTAAAAATCCTACTTATTACCGGACTGAATGTTCTGTGGAAATAAAACATGAACAGCTGGTGCCAGGGGTCTTGGAATATCATGTAACCACGCTTCAGAAATTATCATCTGATTGTTACAACGTTACGTCATGCTATGCATTACAAAAATTTTCTTTCAGTGTACCAATTGGTAACTACCGATGTTTGCACTTTTGTATTAAAATTACTTTAATATTTATTTACCGAACCGATTTAAAAAAAAAAGTTTTTTTTTATTTAATTGATAAGCTTCTTATTTTTGAACTGTCAAATTTTGAAATTGAACTGATTTAACTATAACTAAAAAACCGAGTTTTGTCTGATTAATTAATACAATGAGCTGCAGGTTATGCATTAATATATATTCTTCCAGAATCAGATAGATGTTCTGAAAGGGCCTATAAATTGACATAATTAGTTCCCGAATTAAGGCAATTTAAAAACTATATATGCATATGTATATATATATATATATATATATATATATATATATATGTGTGTGTGTGTGTGTGTGTGTGTGTACCTTTTTTAGATATTACACTGTTTATGGTAGAAAGTATGGATTTCAACTGCTCGGCTGAAGAGCCCAACAACTGTTCAATCAAATGCAACACAAATGATTTTTGTCAAGACGGAAACATGTATTCATGTCAGAGTGTTCAAGAATTGTGTCTCAACAGAAAACAAGCAAACCATTCTCAAAACCAAAATCTTCCTTGCAACAAAATGTGTCAATCAAATAACAATTCTACTAGTAAAAGTAAGTATTGAAACGTTTTTAATTTAATATATTAAAATACTCTCAGAATATTCTAAAGTATTTATCATTTTCCTGTAAATAACTCAACAAAGCTTCGTTGGTTAAATAACGTGTACAGTTATGCAAGTTTATTTTTCTGAGAGCTTTGTATACTCACACTTGTGTTAAAAATAAATGTGCTAAAAGGTGCCTATTAACCTTTCAAAATTAACTAAAATTCCGTCATATTTTTTATACAGGAAATGAAAACAGCATTGAAGACGAGCTGATTGTGATTATAATTTTAGGCATTGCATTTGGTGAGCATAACCAATTAGAAGTTTTCTTTTCCAATCATACTATATAAAATACCAGCGAAAATATTTTATGTATACATACAAGTTCAATGTTATTGCACGAATTAATTAGATTAATTACATTTCAGCAATACTAGTGTGCACTTTGATCGCTTGTTGGTTGAAAAAGCGTGTACGCAAGTATGATTTAATTCCTTTCGTGTTTTTATCGTTTTATCATTATTTTAACTGTTTATCAAATGAGCTCTCTAAGAAAAGACGCTTTCTTACCCTTGAAATTATTTACTTTCAGACATAAAACAAAAGTTCGAGAAGATGCTCGTGTACACAGCACAGGTTTGGAAGATAGGAGTGAATGTGTGACTGGGTGTGATTGTGTTAATGTTGATATCCGTTTTAAACTATTTTGTGTTATTGTTCAGTTCCCGTACTGTGATGTCATGGTCCAGTTTTTTCTTGTTTTTGTAACCTTACACAAGAATCGGTGCAAGTAGGATTTACAGCTTTTAAACCCAGATTACCCGACACCAGTGTTTGTATTATATTAGGTAATGTATTACTTGGAATTGTTCAAGTGTTTTTGTATCGGTGTTCTAAAATTATTTACAGTAGACCTTGTTCTAAATATTTGTGTATAAAGTAGATAGTTTAATATAGTTAGTTATTAATTATAATTATATTATTTGTAATTATATCCAACCTTAGTTTCCGTTGTTAAGTCTAGTGTTAGCTGTTTAAAAAAAACTGCTTTGTTTTCGTGTGTTGTGTCTGGCTTTCTGCATATTAAGTCTATTCTTCAGGATGTTTTATAGGATCTTAATCGCGTCGGTAGAATAGTTTTAATATTACAAACGAGCAGACCCGCGGCGTATCATACGCCGCTATTTAGTTGTTTTATTTTCTACTTTTCAGTCATTCATAATTTGTGAATTCGACAGTACCAATGCTGCCACTGAAAATATTTGCTTTAAAACACTAACCCCCCCCCTTTCCCCTAACCCCGACCCTACACCCCCCCCCCTTGAAAGCAGCCTCCTCTTAGTTACCTCCTGTAAGTTTAAAATAGTTTCAAACTAAATTATCCGCCCCTAATAGTCGTCACTAAACCCGGCTCTACGATTTGTAAACATTTAGCGTGACCACAACTCACCAGACCATGTGGGGGTGGGGGTGGTAGTGATAGTGATAGGGAGAAAGAGAGGGGACTGTAAGGAGGCGCTTGCAGCTTGTTTTCTAACGTCTCCCAGAAGAGAATTATATATATAGATTGGGGCAAACACCGAGAGAGGGGAACGATACCTCTCAAATAAAAATTGAAGAAACAAATTCAGCTTGACTATTAAAAGAGCAAGTATGATCATCATCGAAGTATTTATCGATGTGTAATTTCTGGAAGTCAGATATTAATATGATAGTCTGTCAACAGCGCCTGACTTTGAGACTACACCAGGGGTGGAACTACAGTGCCGCCAGACCCCGCAATGCGGGGGGGCCCAGACCGATTGGGGGCCCAAAAGTCCTGGCTAAATTATAAAAAAAAATATTTAAAAAAATTAGGTGGAGGTCGAGTTATCTTTCTTCTACAGTTACAAACAAACACGATAGTCGGCAAACGTCTTTGAGAAAAATGCACAGACTATAGCTCAATGTACCAGATGGAGATTTAAAAAAAAAAAATAGTGCGACCCTTGTTTTCCATATATATATATATATATATATATATATATATATATATATATATATATATATATATATATATATATATATATATATATATATATATATATATATATATATGTATATATATATATATATATATATATATATATATATATATATATATATATATATATATATATATATATATATATATATATATATATATATATATATATAGGGGCCCAAAAAAAAAATTCTGCGGGGGGGGCCTTTTTTTTCTAGTTCCGCCACTGGACTACACCCTTGCATACCAATATACAAATTATAGTTCTACTTTTTTAGGGGACAGTATGGTTTTACATGATACTTCTTTGATATTAGATATCGTTTCTGAATTATAAAATGTACCAATTTGACGTGAAATTACAACACTGGTTCATCAATATAGGCCTTCTTTTATATCATGGTACACGTCTAGCGTGAAAATGAATACACAATGAACACAATGTACACAGGTTCAACTTGTATCACGGTATAATACAAAATTAATGTAGTAAAAACAATTTCTTTTGATATTATTGGGTTTGTTTATATTTCTAAAGGTACAACTGAGGACTGTGAAGAAGAAAGTCATCCATGTATTGCACACACTCAAGACGATTTAAACTGTTTGGTAAACATTGATCTAATTCAGTCGATATTATGTCCTGCTTCATAATGCTTTTAAAATCGAATATGCAACAATAATGGAATCTTTATAAAAGTTGAAATCCTTCATAAAAAAAAAGTATTTTTTTAACAAATTTGGATCGTGTATAGTTATGTCGACAATATGACTTTTTTTTTTTTAAACATTTAAACACAGTACTTTTCAGAACTGAATCTAAAATTAGTTATACTATACTTTTAAAATATTCTATGTACAATTATATTATACTGACCTTTAATTTCTTACTTAATGTTATAACTTTAAAAAGCGTTTACTTTTTCTTATTTTGTAAATGTGTTTTTAACTACTTCCATCATCTATTTAAACTAGAGTTCAACCGATATCAAAAAATCATGTCATATTGCTAAAGAGGGTGAATATGTCGAGAAAGGTAGTGTTTACTTTATAATTTTAGTAATTTTGTTTTCGAAAATAAATAGATTAAAGCTTTGTTGAAAGCAGTTTAACGCAACTGAGTTTTTTTTTGTTTCACATTATATAGCCCGTGAAACTGAAAGAAGAGAAGCACATTCTACAATTTCTTTAGTAACAGTAAGTAGAGTAATGACTGATAATAATGGAAAATTTACACAACCATGTATTAATCATAGAAATAATTATTGTAACATGATAAAATTTGAATACACATTTTTGTACAGTTAGTTTTTATCTATTGGGTTCAGTGAAAATACGGTGGTACGATTTGCACATTGGTATGGACTGCCCAGCTCTGCCCTATATATATATATATATTACCCCCTAGGAATCAGCTCATTCGATTGCCAATGTTGAAAACTCCACAGCTGTGACTTCAGTTCCTGCTGGTACTTATCTTTACACTTTTTTAGTTGTTAATAGACAGCAAGCTACATTAATCAAATGTGTATTGCTTGTAAACCAATATATTATGTTTACAGTTACAGATAATTGTGTTACAATCGAAATGCCATGCGATGGCAAAACACTGCAAATAAAACTGCCAGCGCAGGTAAGATTAAATAAAGGCTAAATGTTATTTTCATCAGAGGATTACATTTGTATTAACGTTGTTTTAATAAATTTAAATATTTTTTTTCCTACATATAATAACTTATTGTATACTTTAATGTAGACACGTTTTTAATCCAAATATGTTTTTCCTAAAAGGAAACCATGCCTAATGAAACATGTGACAGTTCTCTTCAAGAACACGAAAAAAGTGAGGGTATTTTTCTTTGTTTTGATGGTTCTACAATAAATTAAATATTAAAAAATAACTAAAACTATAACAGTAGGAGCTATTTTTATGAAATTATTGATTATAATCTTTTAGACATGAGACATGATGCTTTTTTTTCTATTAACACTTAGATAACAAATTGGTCCAGATCAAATTCAACAGCGATGCCCTGATTAACATATTTCAGTCACAGGTAAATTAATATGCGTTATATATATATATATATATATATATATATATATATATATATATATATATATATATATATATATATATATATATATATATATATATAATGTGTGTGTATCTGTGTGTGTGGGCGTGTTTATTGCATGTAGCCCTAAATAATTTAAATATTATTTAATTATAAAATCTAAGCCGCGACCTAGCGGTAGTACCAAGGACTGTTTACCAGAAATCTATAGCACTGTAGCTCGAGTCAAAACCATAAGTCGTCTTAAGACTATCTGTGAACGTACACTTCCTTTCATGTGTCGAAATGACGTCGTGCGTGGATGTTTTGAACACGCCTGGTCATATCTGTTAAAGCACAAACATATAAAACATTATAGGAATCAACAAGGTTAATCACTATTCTAAAACATGAGAATCTAATTCGTTTCGGAATTACTCCTCTAGATGAGTCTTCTGCTACCGTGCCTCATCTTAACAGGGTTGGAGTTTGGAATTTTCGGAGCCTAAAATCAAACGGCATCCTACCTTAACACACCGTGCGACTAATACAATTCGATACAGTATTATATAACCGCACACGAGCATAATATAAAGGTTTAAACGAAAATGACATGGTTTTAGTGATAAAAAATCACAAAGCAAGTAATATGAGAAGTAATAGAGCATAAAAGGAATAACATACATCCATTCATTTCCAATCTTTACACTTCCACCGCGATGATCTACTCTATTTTGTAGAGTAACCAGTAATCATTTTCAATTAAGATCTAAATTGAAAATTTAATGATTTGTTTAAAAACATATTAAAATCTACACATTTAAAATGTGTTGATTTTAATATGCGTCAATACAAAACATTTTTTAAAATTTTATTTTAAATATAGCAAGTTCTCACCAGTCGTCTTTTTATCTCTTTGTTATAGAAGCCATTTTCTCAATTTGACTCGAGGTGTATACCAGCTCTATGCTGTTATTTTTATTTTTGACAATTTTCGCGATTCTTCGCTGCTTTGAGTAGTTCTACAACGGGCAACCTATTCAATTATTTGATGGCCATTATCACAGGCCTACATTAATGGTTCCGAGAAACCGTTTGACTGTTTATATATATATATATATATATATATATATATATATATATATATATATATATATATATATATATATATATATATATATATATATATAATGTGTGTGTATCTGTGTGTGTGGGCGTGTTTATTGCATGTAGCCCTAAATAATTTAAATATTATTTAATTATAAAATCTAAGCCGCGACCTAGCGGTAGTACCAAGGACTGTTTACCAGAAATCTATAGCACTGTAGCTCGAGTCAAAACCATAAGTCGTCTTAAGACTATCTGTGAACGTACACTTCCTTTCATGTGTCGAAATGACGTCGTGCGTGGATGTTTTGAACACGCCTGGTCATATCTGTTAAAGCACAAACATATAAAACATTATAGGAATCAACAAGGTTAATCACTATTCTAAAACATGAGAATCTAATTCGTTTCGGAATTACTCCTCTAGATGAGTCTTCTGCTACCGTGCCTCATCTTAACAGGGTTGGAGTTTGGAATTTTCGGAGCCTAAAATCAAACGGCATCCTACCTTAACACACCGTGCGACTAATACAATTCGATACAGTATTATATAACCGCACACGAGCATAATATAAAGGTTTAAACGAAAATGACATGGTTTTAGTGATAAAAAATCACAAAGCAAGTAATATGAGAAGTAATAGAGCATAAAAGGAATAACATACATCCATTCATTTCCAATCTTTACACTTCCACCGCGATGATCTACTCTATTTTGTAGAGTAACCAGTAATCATTTTCAATTAAGATCTAAATTGAAAATTTAATGATTTGTTTAAAAACATATTAAAATCTACACATTTAAAATGTGTTGATTTTAATATGCGTCAATACAAAACATTTTTTAAAATTTTATTTTAAATATAGCAAGTTCTCACCAGTCGTCTTTTTATCTCTTTGTTATAGAAGCCATTTTCTCAATTTGACTCGAGGTGTATACCAGCTCTATGCTGTTATTTTTATTTTTGACAATTTTCGCGATTCTTCGCTGCTTTGAGTAGTTCTACAACGGGCAACCTATTCAATTATTTGATGGCCATTATCACAGGCCTACATTAATGGTTCCGAGAAACCGTTTGACTGTTTATATATATATATATATATATATATATATATATATATATATATATATATATATATATATATATATAACTTATTAACAGCTGCAAGAATGTTTGTATATTCATATATATATATATATATATATATATATATATATATATATATATATATATATATATATATATATATATATATATATATATATATATATATTTATATATTTATATACATAACTTATTAACAGCTGCAAGAATCACAGGAAAACAATTTGCGTATCGGTATGTTTATACTTTTTTGTCCTTGTAGTCGCATATTTGAACAACTTTTGTGATTTAAACTTACTGTTCGACTCTTTAAAAGTAGCAGCAGTATTATTTTTTCGTTTGAAACATGAAATTTATATTTCAGTTGTTTTTTTTTTTTACATGAATAACAGACAATAATTGTACGCTTACTATTCTTAAATAAACATGAAATTATTAGCTAAATTTATTCAAAATACTATGATTACAATTTTTATTATATATTTTTCACCTTTTTGTATATTTTTATTACCTTTTGATATCCTTATTATCATTTTCATTCCAGAACTCGAATTTTTGTCTAGCAAATTGCCGGTATCCTCATCAACCACATTAAAACAAACCGTAAAATTTGGCAAAGAACGTCCCAACGGTTCTGTCCAATTTATCGAAGCTGAGGTTTCTGTAAACAGAAGTATAAGTCAGCTTAAACATGATATGGTAGCCTTATACAACATACCAGCAGAGCACCAGTCGTGGCTTCTAAAGAACAAGTTAATGGATGATGAGAAGTTTTTGAGAGATTATCAGATCTCTGAAAAGGACGTGATTTTAATGAAGGATGGAAGGCCTGCATTACATGTGTAATATATTGTGTCCAGAATATGGAAAGCATGTAACACAGATTTACTACATATTTTTGCGATTTTTTTTAGTTAAAACGGGGTAAAAATACATTAAAACAAAACTAGAATATTTTTAAAATCATGTACAGTTTGAGGGCGTTATGACTGGGTGCGACACAACTAGGTTCACACCTTACAAAGTTGTAAGAGTGAGAGCATAACATGTGATTTATCTCATTTGTTTCTCATTTGTTTCTCAGCCAACTCGTATATACCTTGCGTTTTTCTGGTCCCCACTCTAAAGTCTGCCATCAACATTCATTTCTACATTCTTCATTACGAGCCGACCCGCGGCGTATCATAGGCCGCTATTTAGTTGTTTTATTTTCTACTTTTCAGTAATTCATAATTTGTGAATTCGACAGTACCAATGCTGCCACTGAAAATATTTGCTTTAAAACACTAACCCCCCCCCCTTTTCCCCAACCCCTATATATATAGATACCCGCTCACAACATTCCCGCTGTCACTACAACACTACTGTGCAAACATACGCAGTGATCCGTCCGATGTACATATCTTTCATACACATCACATCAAATGAATTCAATTATGTGTTAAAACTTTCCGTTTTTTTGGGGCATACCGATTAGTCGTGAAGATGTATTTTAGTTCACCTGATTCTAGCCGTATGAAGCGTAGTGCAGTAAGCTAATATCTTTTGTAACATGCTTTCTTGGAGTTGATTAAGACAGATATCAATCGGAATTCCATGCACCAAGGGTTTGACTAATGTTCACGTAATCGTGCTCTCTACCACTTTATCACGTCTTTCAGATTTGAAAATTAAAGATAATTTAAATAAAGCAGGGCGGGATAAAAGGAGACATAAAAATAAGGGCTGGCAAGGCAAGAGCAGTCTTCAACCAACTAAAAAATGTTTTGGGTTCTGGAGATTTAACTCTTGGAATAAAAATCCGGATTTTCAACACACTAGTAAAACCTGTTTTACTCTATGGAGTTGAGACATGGAGAATAACTACTATACATAAGAAGAAAATACAATCATTTATAAACGCATGCCTCAGAAAGATCCCGGAAAACCACCAGAAATGATGTTCTATGGCAACGGACAAATCAACTGCCAGTTTAAGTAGAGATCCTCTAGAGAAAATAGAAATGAATTGGCCACACACTCAGGAAGCCTGTATCCAGCATAACAAGACAGGTCCTCACGTGGAATCCACAGGGCAGGAGGAGGAGAGGCAGACCAAGAAAGACCTGGAGACGTGACCTGGAAGAAGACGCCAAGAAGATTGGATACACCTGGGGACAGTTGGAGAAACTAGCCCAAGGATAGAGATGTCTGGAGGGCTTTTTTCAGCGGCCTATGTCCCAGTACGGACGACAGGCAAACCTAACCTAACCTAAATAGTTGTAATGTTATTCATTTTGTGCATTTGTTTAAGATATTGCATACATCGTTTTTTTATAATTGCTAACACATTATTATTGTGCATTATGATATTCTATAATTTGCAACCAACGGTTGGATTTAATAATTAAGAATGTAATATTGTGTTGTTTCTTGCACTCTTCAATATTTGCTTTAAATTCATTCTTTGTATTTTGTTTTTGTCCGCCAACCAAACATCTCCAGAGACTCTGTTCTGTGTCATGTTCTCAACCAGTTGTAGCCGATCTTTGTAGTTCCAGCCTCAAGTTCGCGTCTCCAGATGTTATTAGTCATCTTTTTTACGCTTTCTTTGTGGTTTTCCTCAATTCTGCCGGGAGATATTGGTTGCGGTTTGTTAGGGCATGCCCTATCTGAAAGATCTCAAGGAAAAAAATCATGTGATGAAATATATTATGGAGAAAATATATTACACACATAATGCACAAAGATGACTAAATTAGTGCAACATATTTTTTTAAAAACTATCTCTCGGAATAGTATTTAATTTTTTAGATGACAAACAAACCAGAAACATACATAGTGTGTTCCTTTTTCAGTTTAAACATTTTCCAAACAATAAGTCATTTATTTTTATTGTAACTACTAATATAATATATTCAGGATTTAAAATAGGGAAAACTTAAATGAAACTCATGAAATCTTAGTGCACGGGTTCCCAACCTGGGGGTCGCGACCCCCAGGGGGGTCGCGAAGGTCTTTCTGGGGGGTCGCCAACTGGTATACTAAACCTTAGTAATTTGAAACAAAACATAAATATTTAGAAGAATTTTTAAAATTCGGCTTCATTAACATCACTGGAAATGCAATAGAGAAGAAACAAAGCGCACTGTACAAAGTTGTTCTCAGTCACGAATCTATGAAATCTTTAAAACTAAAACGTCATTTGAGACGAGTCATTCGGAACACACCAAAATATATATATGGAGTTCTTTCGTCGATAAGAAGATAGTTGCAAACGCCAGAGACTTGATCGAACAGGAAGTTTTCACCAGCATTAGTGCAAGCATCAAATGAAGTCGTGATAGAAAATGCCAAACAAAAAAAAAACAATAGGAGAAAATCTCACCAAACGCTGCATGTACGTAAATGTTAAATAACACGTTTTTATAGAAATTAAACTTTCACCATTGTTTGCTTGTCGAGTTGATAAATCAACAGACGTGAGTTCGTGTTCGCAGTTGCTGGTCTGTGTCTATATTCATGCGGATGATAGCAAAAAAGAGTTGCTCTTTTGTGAAGATAGCAAGGAGAAAATAAATAGGTTTTTTTTTTAAAATTGGATGATTAAAATGGGTTAGAACGGCGGTGGGGGTTTGTACGGATGGCGCGCCATCTATGTTTAGCTCAAAATCGGGCTTTCAGAAAGCAGAAAAGATTTAGCTCCCTAACCACTGCCCTAACCAATCGACATCAAGAGTCCATTGCTAGTATAAGTCGTAAATTATATAAAATCTGGAGCCTTCAAAGAACTGAGCAAAAACATTAATATAGATCACGAGGTTCTGCTCTTCTACACTACAGTACGCTGGCTGTCAAACGAAATTTTCATAATTGTGTTTTTGAATTGAAATCTGAAATCAAATTGTTCTTGAAAGTGCAAAGGAAACAAGACTTTTTGGTATACTTAAAACGGGCTTAGAGTGGTTGGAGAGAGTACCATACCTAGCAGAAGTGTTCGAACATCAAGATAAGCTAAACCTGAAGCTTCAGGGGATGAATTACAAGATGAATTCTTTGATTTGCAGAATGATTCCGAGTAAGATGAAAAACTGCAGACACAATTTTAGTGCAGTATTCACCATTCATACCCAAACGTAAAATTGATTGACTTTTCGAGAATACATTTTCAAAATTATTCTTCGATTAAAAACAAAATTAAGATAATTATAATGACATAGGTTGGCGTTAACAAAAAAAAAATAATTAAAAAGTTAACCACGAAGGTTTAGTGAATAGTATGCAATTTTACTCATGCTATTAAAACAGTTATCAATAGTAGTTCATATTGAAAGTCTACTAGAAAATCTTACTTTAGTGCTTATTAATTTCCATACTAATTTCGGCTTTTTAATTCTATGGGGGTCGCGGGTCACTTACTTTTTATAAAAGGGGGTCGCCACTAGAAAAAGGTTGGGAACCACTGTCTTAGTGGTTGCTTTGAAATCTTTCAAATATAATAAATATTATTCTGAGTGATATTCTATGTGTGATAATCTCTTAGCGATATTTTGTACTTTAAATATTTCGTACTGATATATTTTCTCTATATCTTTTCTCGGCATTTATTTCGTCCTGAGATATTTTGTCTTTCAAATATTTTGTCTTTCATTATTAACCCTCTCACCTACTAATACAATATTTTTGTTGTAAGATACTATTTACCAATGTTATGGTTTATAAAATTAAGAACATGTATAGTTTTTTAAAAAAAAAATTGTACTTCATATGCAGACTTCATTGTAAAATAAAAGTGTGGTTAAGTTATTTTTTAATATTTAAAGTTTAACATTTTCTATTAATAAAGTTGTTCAGTTGGGCAAACTTTTTAAAATCTTATATTTTATAATAGATGTTTAAATTTAGTTTAACCAAAACATTGTAAATTTTTAAAAGTCTTCCGCATTGTTGTATTTAATATTGACCAAGCTGAATAAAAATTTCTTCAAAACAGAAGAAATTGAATGTTGGGAGTATATTGAAGTGTGATGTGGTTTTAGAGACCGACAAAAAATTAGATCAAATCTAGAAAACACGCTCTGTAATTGAAGTGAACAATAATCTTAAACTAAATTGTTTTGACAGTCCTGACTTTGTACAGCTACACCTCTACACACTAAAATGTCAACGCGAGTGATAGCAGTTAGTGGTGAAGCATAAACAGCCACATAATTATTGATGGGAAAATATTAAACTTCAGGTCACCGAAGCAAGTCATAATTACGTGCTATTCAGATTTTGCGATTACGTAGTATAGGTACGATGGTACCTTGATATGCAAGTCCCCTGATATATACGATATTTTAGAAACGAGCCGTCGAGTGAGGGATTTTTGAGAAAAGAATCAACGCCAAAAAAGTTGCAACTGGTCGTGAATCTAAACTATTTGATGACATTAGCCAAACTGATGTCTGCAATATTTTAAAATAGAGAAAGAAACAAACCACTTTTGACAGGATTTTAAAAAAAACGGCTTGCAGATGAAAGTTAATAAAGCGTGGCAAAAAAGACCAGTAAATTGAAAAGCAGTGAATACGCTGAAAGCAACAAAGTATCACAGAATAGTGATTATATTCATTGATGTTTAGAAAAAATCCATGCAGTTTAGAGATAAAGTGTAGTACATAAAAAAGTGTAACGAGTAAGTGATCCAGTGACAAAAAGTGTTTAGTCAATTAAGTAAGAGAAGCTCGGCCCCTATGCCCCTTACCCTGTACCTCATCCAGCATCCTGCATAAGCTCCTAGGGTTAACGTTTAACTTTTTCTTTCAAAAATTAAAATTAAAATTAATTTTAAAAAATGTAACCAAGATAGCTGAGTTGTCATCTTGG